TTTGGACTCCCACATGGCTGACTGCAGTTTGAGTCCCGGACCTTGCAGCTTGTTCTCTCTCTCACTCTATCCCTCTCTGGTCAAATTTAAATGAATAAATAAATAAAATTTTAAAAAAATTTTAAAAAGAGAAAGAAAGCAAATGTGCTCCCAGCTGACGCTGGAGGGGCTCCTAGAAGCCACGGTAAACCGCATGACTGCCGCACACCTGAGGACGGAGGGCAGGCCGTGTCAAGGCCAGGCCTGGAGCCTCCTAAAGACACTTGGGGAGGCCCTTCGAAGGGCGGCGTTTGGTATCTCAGATACACTGCCATAACCACCCTGTAAAAGGTTTTTTTTTTCTTTCTTGCTAGAGGGCAGCATTCGCCAGAAAGAGACAGGGGAAGAGAGCACCCCTCAGGGGCACAGTCATGCTGCAATCCCTTCTCCGTTTCTCCCCTCTTTCCAAATTTTGGGTGCATGCACATGCACACACACACACCTAGTGTGTTTCTCAAGCCTCAGGGTCTGGGATTTGAACTGCACCGTCAGCCAAGTGGGATCCAGCTACCCTGACCACCAGGCCAAAGAACCAGTCTCAAGAATTTTTTTTAAAGAATTATTTTATTTAACTTTATTTATTTATTTATTCATTTGCTTATTTTAATTTGACCAAAGAGGGACAGAGAGAGAGAGAGAGAGAGAGCGCGAAAGCAAGCCACCTGGTCCAGGACTCAAAACACGGTCGGCCATGTAGGAATCCAGTGCCTTTAACCACCACGCCACCTGCTGGCCCCAGTCCTAGGAATTTTTTTTAAGATTTTTGTTTCAATTTTAAAAACTTAAATCTATCTATCTATCTCTCTATTTATTTATTTTCAGTTTGACTAGAGAGGAACAGAGAGAGAGAGAGGGAAAGTGAGAAAAGTAAGCTGCCAGGTCTAGGACTTGAACCACAATCGGCCATGTGGGAGTCCAGCACCCTTAACCACTATGCGACCTGCCAGCCCTGGATTTTTTTTTTAAACCACAAAAGTAGATACTGATTTATAAGATCTTAGAAGAAGGGGGAAAAAGCTAGTCTATAATCAGGAAAAATTTGGTTAAACCAGAATATTTAAAATATTTTGTACACTCTCCTGGCAAAAATGAAGAAATAGGGCCCCTGTCTCCTCTCATCTCTGTAGCACAGTGAACACCGCCACAGTCATGTCCCCGGCATTGCTCCTCACTGGCTTGTACCCACTCCTTGTCTACTTTCAAGGACACGTGGAGGGCCTTTATCTGAATGGCGTGTTTCCAGTAGGGCCATTAACAGAGGAACAGGGAAAAGCACACAAAAGCGAAACCAGGTGACGTCAGGCATAACGACCCCTAAATCACTGAGCTCAGGCAGTAAGTGTAATAGCTCCAGCCTTAAGGATGCCAGAAAGGAAAAGGACCTACCTGCACTCACTGACGTACTTAGCTACAGGGTACATGCACTTGCCAGAGGGTCCAGGGGCAGGGGATTGGGGGTCACCACCCCCAGGGATGGCCATGACACAATCCCTTCTCCTTCGTCCTCCCCTCAGGGTTCTGGGCACACAAATGCACGTGGTTTTCAAGCCCCCAGGCCTGGGACTTGAGCCACACAGTGAGCCACATGGGTCCCACTGCCCTAACCACCATGGCACCTGCTGGGCCCACCTTGCTATTTTTAAGATGCCTCCTCAGAGCTAAGCACTGCAAATAACCTCTATACATAACACCGCCTCTTATTGACAACTAAGCCCAACCCTGCTCAATGTATCCACTCACTTGTTCACTTACTTGTCACCTAACCTCATGGAAGCCCAGAGTCTGGGTGGGCAGAACACCAAGAGCTGTGGAGGAGAGGGCAGCGTCACGCGGTGCTTATGTCATGGGACAGAACCTCCACGTACACGCAAGTACATGCACACACACGCACACCCGAGTGAGCAGTGTCCCAGTGCATGTCACCAGCCCTGGTTACAGACCAACTGGAAAGGGACTGATTGTACCACAAATGGTACTGGGAAAACCAAGGATTGGGACAAAAAACCAAAACTGTGAATAGTGAAGAGTTAAATACAAGCTGGAAGAAAATGTGGATATTTAACCAACCCGTGGGTAAGGAAGAAAGAAGTCTCAGCAATAAAAGCAAAAGAATGAAGTTATACAAGAAGAGGGAGATTTGACTGTCAACAAACCATGGGAAGACACTACATTTTAAAATCGACTGCAGACGGGAAGATTCATACGCAACAAACATGACAGGGAAGGGCGATGGCCTTGATATACAAAGAGCATCCTCCGGTCAAGTGAGTGGAAAATACTCAGTCGCATTAGTAATGAGAAGGAGCCAAAGTAAAACAGCAGAAACCATTTTAGACTACCAATATGGTTTTACCAAACTGACAAAGCTGTTTTTTAGTTTTATTTGTTTTTAAACTTTATCACCCTACTGGTGATAAAGAGGCACCCGGGACCAGCAGTTGGCATAATGGCTATGTCGCTGGACTCCCATGTAGTTGACTGTAGTTCAAGTCCTAGACCTGGTGGCTTAAACTCACATTGGGCGCATGTGCATGTGTACCCAAGATCCCGAGAGGAGAATGGAGGAGAAGGGATTGCGGCCTGGCCATCCCCCTGGGGGGTGATTTCTCACTTTCTATCTGTCTCTCTCTGTCTTTCTGGCGAGCACACACACCCTATAGCAAAAACCTCTCAAAAAAAAAAAAAAAAGTTAAGGATGCACCCTTTCTGGAAGCAATCTTCCTAACCATCTCCCCCCCTCCACCCATAGGGTGCTGGAGAGAGACAGAGACAGAGAGAAAGTGAGAAATCACCCCCCCAGGTGAGCTGGCCACACTGTAATCCCTGCTCCTCTATTTTCCTCTTGGGATTTGGGGCACACATGTGCACATCCCTGGAGCGGTTTTCAAGCCAGGTCTGGGACTCAAACTACGCAGTTGGCCCTGTGAGACCCAGGTACCGTAACCACCATGCCACCTGCTGGCCTCCTAACCTTCATCTTGTTCCAGCTCCGGAGATATTCAGAGACGTGCCAGAGATTTATCCACTGGTTTGGAAAGGTCATGACACATTCTTGTATAGAAAAAGACATCATGACTTTTCTTATGACTCAATACAAGAAGTTTGTTGCACTAGCACTTATTACTAACTTATTCCCAAAATGTGAAGAGAATGAGAAATGCCCTAGCTATTCAACAAGAGTGATGGTGGGGTATGGCTAATAAGAGATTACATATTTCAAGGAAATAGTCATCAGAAATCACACAGCCAGCGTTGACAGACCGAGGAACTGTTCCTTATAAATTACTGCAGAAGAAACATCAGGAGAAAACTCTGTGTGATTTGACCCCAATGATGGGAACATTAGCTTAAGTAATAGGCAATCGCCTGTATTCAATAACTTTTTACCTAAAAACATCAGTTCCTCATGGTTCCAAGCCAACACGTACATGTGGGTGTTTAGTAAATGTTTATACATGTAGATAGGTGCATGCACAAAAAACGGGAGTGAGATAGATACAGGGGTCTTCAAAGAGTCCATGAATATTTGTATTATTTTTTAAAAAGTGGGGGCCTGCAGGTGGCGTGGTATTTGAGGCACTAGATTCCCACACGGTTGACTGCAGTTCGAGTCCCGGACCTGGCAGCTTGAAAATCACACTGGGCACCTGTGCATATGTGCCCAAAGTCCCAGGAAGAGAATGGAGGAGAAGGGATTGTGGCGTGACTGCCCCACCCCAGGGGACTGGTTTCTCATTTTCCCTTTCAGAGTCTCTCTGCCTCTTGTGAGCACACATGCATTATGGCAAAAACTTAAAAAAAAAAAAAAGATTAAAAAAAAAGCATACATGGGTTATTTATTTATTTATTTATTTTACCACAGGGCACACTACTCACCAGAGAGAGACAGAGGGAAAAAGAGAAATCAGCCCCTGGGGACATAGCCCTGCCACATCCCCTTCCTCCATTCTCACCTCAGGATCTGGGTCACACATGTACATGCACCCGGCATGTTTTCCAAGTTGCCAGGCCTAGTACTCAAAGCACATGGCCACGTGCGATCCAGCCACTGAAACCACCATGTTACTGGCTGGCTATCAAAATTTTTTGGCAACAGAATAAGCTCATACTTTAATTCCAATTTTCCATGAACTTTTCAAAGTCTCCTCATATACCAAAATGTTCACTGTTCTCTGGGTGAAGTTGCTATATTTCTAACATCATGCTCTATGCTTTGTTATTCTAATTTTAAAAACAAGACTTGGTACTTTTATATTCAAGACAAGATCACAGTGAAGTCATGCTACGAGGCTGTTCGCATGTGGAATGGACTACCGCAGGGGCTAACAAGGCTGGTTTTGTGTGTATTTTTTCTCTAATTTTTTTTTTTTCCCATAGGACATATGCACTCACTGGAGAGAGAGACACAGAGAAAAGAAAAGTGAGAAATGACACCCCTCCCCCCCAGGGGGTAACCACGCTGCAAATCCTTTCTCCTTTATTTTCCTCTTTGGGATCCTGAGCAGGCAGGCGGACCTGGCGTGCTTTCAAACTGCTGGGACCAGGGCTCAAACTGTGCCATCAGCCATGTGGGACCCAGTCACCGTCACCGCCACACCAGCTGGCTGGCCCAGGGCAGCAAGAACTGAGCGGACAGTTTCTGCTTGTGGAGAGAAGTGGCAGTGCACAGGTAACTCCGTCACATATCACACCGCGCCGCCAGGGAGGGAGGCCAGGCCGGGCCGCTGGTGCTTGGGGGAGGGTCAGGGAACGTGGGGCAGCCTGAGCCTTAATGAACAGGCCCTCCTGCCAGGAGGCAGAAATGGGGGAGAGGGGACAGACACAGGAACAGTGTGCGCTAAGGCACCGGGCAGGGACCTGTAGATAGAGCCCATCAAGTCTTTTACATCCCGAAGTCTCAACACCAACTCTTTTAAAACTAGGAAAATGCCATCTTACTTTAACATTTGAACAGCATTTACCTTCAGTTGGAAATTTCTTGGCTCGTTCCTCAAAGAACCATTCTCCAGTTTTTATTTTCACATTTCTGAAAAACAAGCAGAAAGGAGCTTCAGATGGAGAATATGCGATCAGGGCTCCATACGGCTCTGGAGGCGTGCTGGGCAGGCAGCTGGCCGTGGGTAAGGCGCCGGGCTCCCCCATGGCCGACAGCACTTTGAGCACCAGGCCTCGTAGCTTCAAAGTCACACCAGGCACGAGTGTGTGCGCATGTGTGCACGTGCCCAAAATCTGGAGAGGAGAAGGGACTGTGGCGTGACCATCTCCCCCAGGGGGTTATTTCTCACTTCCCCTCTCACCTCTGTCTCTGGCAAGCACAGGTGCCCTGTGATAAAAATCTTTTAAAAAAGAACAAAACTTGTTGGGCAGGTAATATCACAAAACTTAGAAAACAGCTTACAAGACTGAGCCTTGGAGCTCGAGGTGCTGGCCTAAAGCCCGCCTATATGGTTTCCCAGAGAGGCACGTGACTGGCTAGGTAGCAGTGGGCATGGGTCTCCTGGCTCAGAGCATCGCCTGCGTGCAGTCCACGCAGGGAACGGGCAGTGGCATTCGCTGTGCCCTGCACTCACTGGGTACTTCACATTCTGTCCAGACACAGAGAAACGATCTGCACCCGGGCGGTCCCTGATCCCTGTACCGTGATGTGGTGGGAGCGATGGCACCAGAGCCCGGATTGGGGACACATATATGCTAGCTGCTTCAAACTGAAGTCCAAAAATGTGTTTCACCCTTGACATTCCCCAGTTTCTAGAGAAACCACACTCAACCTCAAAGAACCTCAGAATTGCTAACATGCTGTTAGGACATAAAAAGGGAAACACAGACATATTACAAATGATTCAGACCCTTGGGTTAATGTGTCAATGCTTGCCAATTTATTGGCTATGTAAGTTTTTAGAAGTTAAAACTTTAACAGGTGCTGTGGTGGTTAAGGTGCTAGACTCATAAGGGCAACCGCGGCGCAAGCCCTGGGCCTGGCAGCTCGCTTTCTCTCTCCCTCTCTCTCTCTCTTTCTCTGATGAGTGCATGTGCCCTATAAAAAATTTAAAAATAATAATAATATATAACATTAAATACATATTTTTGAAAACGTCTTTAAGTTATGGCAAATTCTTACCTATAGTAATTTACTGAAATAAGTTCTCGGTTAGGCTGTTAAGCTAATATAAACTCAGATGGACTTTTTTCTAAGTTAATAGTTGCAAATGCAGTTAGTAAGTGAAATCACAAATATATGCCAAATCCGCATGTTTCTGAAAAGATCCTATCTCTGTCAAGCATTAGGAATTGTCGGAAGACACTGGCCAACCGTCTCCCCCTCCTCCGACTAGAAACGATTATGTTACTCTCTGCGAAGTCCGTGAGTGTCCTGCACTGATGCGGACTGACTGGAACGAGGAACACACACACCGTGCATTGAAGCATTTCATGCAGAATGCTGATGATCAGTCATTACCATCCGAAGCCAGAAATATGTAAAATGTCTATTTCTCTAGAGAGGGAAACATCTGCGTCCATAAAATCAGAAATTGCTTATCTAATCTACTCACTAGGCACAAAACACCTCAAGGCACTCTCGGCCTCTCTGCAGAGGTCCCCCTGGCCCTTGAAGGCAAGCAGAACATCAGGAGTCAGGGACGGTTTGGGGACCAGGTGGTGGTGCAGTGGTGGCAAGACTGGACCCACGTGGGAAAGATTCTGGGTTCCCATCCCAGGACTTCCTGAGCACCGGGGTGTGTGCACGCACGGGGCATGGGTTGAGGTGAACAGGCCTGTCCCTCACTCTGTCCCGCTTCCTCATGGGGGAGACAAATAAACTCTTTTAAAAGCATTGGGGGGGGGGGGAACCAGCAGTTAGGGTAATGGCTATGTCGCTGGACTCCCACGTAGCCGACCGCGGTTCGTGTCCCGGACCCGGTGGCTTAGAACTCACGCCGGGCGCGTGTGCGTGCGTGCCCAAGATCCTGAGAGGAGAATAGAGGAGAAGGGATTGCGGCGTGGCCATCCCCTCTGGGGGGTGATTTCTCGCTTTCTGTCGCTCTGTCTCTCTGTCTCTCTGGCTGGCAGGCGGGCACACGCGCCCTATAGCGAAAACCTCTCCAAATAAATAAATAAATAAATAAATAAATAAATAAATAAATAAATAAATAAATAAATAAATAAATAAATAAATAAATAAATAAATAAATAAATAAATAAATAAATAAATAAATAAATAAATAAATAAATAAATAAATAAATAAATAAATAAATAAATAAATAAATAAATAAATAAATAAATAAATAAATAAATAAATAAATAAATAAATAAATAAATAAATAAATAAATAAATAAATAAATAAATAAATAAATAGATCCAGGCCGACGTTGGTCAGGGACCACGCAGATACACAATCATGGGGAGTGAAAGGCAGTGAAGAGAGGGAAGGCGGGCGGGCGAGATCAACATTGCAAATGATCAGGAGTGCTCCCTTGTCCCTGGTGTCAGACCTTCGCAAAGCAGATAAACCTAAAGCCTAGTCTCCAGCGCTAGTCACCTGACAGCCATCTAATCATCTCCTGTCATCTCAGCTGATGACTTGCAAAGTCTGAGTGGGAACCAACTTGGCACACAGAGACTCGCACAGACTCATGGGTGTCTTGGCCTGTGATTAAAGACCAGAAGGATAGAATTCCCACAGTCCTAACTCACATGGTGACCAATACTCTACACTTGAGACCGTTTCCTTTGAATGCTAAATTTGGGGTAGCTTTCCATCACCCTTTCTTACAGAACCAGCCAATTCCATAAGCAATTATTCCTTAAATCTCTCAGAGGACTCACTGTCTACACCAATCCCCAATTTTTTTGGGGGGTGGGGGAGAGGTTTTTTTTTGTTTGTTTTTTGTTTTTTTTTGCTATAGGCCTCGCCAGAAAGAGAGAGACAGACAGAAAACGAGAAATCACCCCCCAGAGGAGATGGCCACACCGCAATCCCTTCTCCTCCATTCTCCTCTCATGATCTTGGGCACGCATGCACATGTGCCTGGCGTGAGTTTAAGCTGCCAGGTCCGGGACTTGAACTGCAGTTGACTACATGGGAATCCAGTGGCATAGCCATTACGCTAACTGCTGGTCCCCACCAATCTCACATTTAAGAAGGCGGGTCATTTACTGCTCTTACTGTCAAAGCTAGGAGAGTCAAGCCTGCCGTCTCTGCTCTCGTTAGGGCTGACTCAGCATAGCAGGAGGCACAGTAACCAGAAGAAGCACTTCTCACTGCTTCTCAGATGATCAGCTCAGAACATGAGCGCCAGAGCTTCTTGGAACAAACACTTCGCGAGCTCAGCAATAGGTTAACGCTCTTACATTTCTCAGACAGAATCACAATCTGCGTCCTTAAGACTTTTCCAATCAACACATAAATTCAGTGGGAAAGGAAAAGGCTCAGCTGGCAGAGAAAGCCAAAGGTACAGACCTGGGAGGCCTGACCCGAGCCTCAGCCTTCCTGACTAATCAGGCCCAGCGGTGAGGACCACTAGAATTACGAGCAGCGAGCACCGGGTGCCTACGTGCCGCTTACATTTCTGCAGGTCCCAGCATCTGTTTCCACAGCCTTGCGCTCTGCTAATGCTGTAATTTTGTTAGTAAAAAGAAGCAACGGCTGAGAAGTGCTTTGCAAATTCTATATTATCTAATAATTCTCTATTCTATACGAATGCCCTGTGATAAGATGAATGGAGGACCCTGACAGAACAACCTCACGACTGTCGGCAAACAGTGAGCTAAGCAGGCGCTTGGAATGCATTTCAATTTTTGCAGCAAAGTTCACTCGTCTGCCCATGGTCGCCCACTATACCTGTGCTTCTCCTCCACAAGTCCACGGGAGGTCCCTGTAGTTGCGCTTCTCCACAAGTCCACGGGAGGTCCCTGTAGTTGCTTCAAGTGTTTTCACCATCCAGTGACAAGAAGCAGGAAATCAGCCTGCTTGCCCTGATTCCTCAAGTGTCTAAAGCAGCACCTGTGCAGACCTGCTCCCCACCAGTGCCCTGATGGCAAGAGCCCGGAGCGAGCCCTTGCAGGGGGCCCAGGTAGCACTTTACGCACACGGGCTGCAAAAACTCCAGACGCTGTAGAACTTGGATCAACCTAGTCTCCGTGGGAGCTTGACCAGCGCTTGGTAACTTGGCCCAGACAGGCCTACACATGCACACAGCTGCAGATGTCTTTACTTTAAGACCTCTTGCAGCCAAGATGGTCTGCAGTTACCAGACAAGACCATGGGGTTTCCACGGGCTCAGCGGATCTGATTACAGTGCTCTTACAGGAAGAGACTGATCGGCGTGATTAAACCCTAGGAAGTTAGACAATCAAGATGAAGATAAAGAAAGGATTTTATCAAGCTGCTACCAACACGTCTTGCAATAGCTCTCCCTTAATTTCAGAGAAAAGGCAGTTGCTCTCTTTGTCACTTCAGCGCTGTGTTCTTGGCCCCCATACATGAACTCTCTAGCGTGTAGGCTGGGGTCCCAAACCCAACATCAGCTAGAAGCCATGCACGAGGGAGGGCAGGCACTGGAGCGAACCGGAAAATGCATGGCCATACTGAAACGACACACACTAAACACTGCGCAGGAGAAGAAATGAAGAAATCAAGGCCCGTGGCCTGTGCTGGCCCCAGTCTATTGGTCACAAGTTTGTGACTCCTAGTTGGTAACATCAGATAACTTGTCAATGAAAATGAGAAAATTCTACTGCAGCCTACCCAGGCTTGAGGCCCTGACTGTAAAGACTGGGCTAGACACTGTCCTCTCTCTGGGGCCCACTGTCCTCTCTCTGGGGCCCACAGGGGAGACCCACTGTTCCCAAAGGGGTTTGAGAAGCCAAAAGGTGAGACTTAGGAAACTGACAAGTTAAGCCAAAGGAACCCGTTTTCACTGCCTGTAAAGAGCAGAATGGAGTCTGGAAAGCCAACTGCAAAGCCGACTCGGTAGACACTTTCCTAGAATGTAAAAGAAAAGGAACAAGATGCTAAGATAATGCA